CCAAGTCTTTGCTATCACAAAAAGAAGTACTGTTAAACGTATTTTGGTGTATGTGGATACTTTTTTCTTATCAGTGGTCTTCTTGAGGTTCTCTGGGTCAAAGGGTCAAAATTTGAGTGACTCATTTTATTTGCAAAATTTCAAACTTCAGGAACAGCTAGGCGGCACAGTAGATAGAGCCTTGGAGTCAGGAGGACCTGAGTTCAAATCCAGCCTCAGACACTTGACACTTACTAGCTGTGTGACCCTGGACAAATCACTTAACCCCATTGCCTAGTCAAAAAGCAAAAAAAAAAAAAAAAAATCAAACTGCTTTCCAAAATGGTCATGGTAATCCACTAACAATTACTAGTGTGGCTATCTTCCCTAAGGTCTTGCAACATTGACTGTTTCTAGATTTTATCATCTTTGCCAGTTTGCAGGGTGTAAGTTAAAACCTCAGAGTTGGGGGTAGAGCCAAGATAATGGAGAGAAGCCAGACACTCAACTGAGCTCTCCCCCAAACCCTCCAAAGACCTCCAATGCCCTAAAACAAATCCTGAAATGGCAGAACCTACAAAAAAATGAGTGAAACAATTTTTGAGCCCAAGACAGCTTAAAATTTGGTAGGAAAGGTCTGTTACACTGGAGTGAGAGTAGAGCACAGTTCAGTGCAGGCCACGCCAGTGCAGACCAGACCTCAACAATCAGGAACAGGCCTTGGGAGTGAATGAATCAGCAGCAGCGGTGGCTGCTTCCAGAGCTCTCAGCCCACAGATGGTAAGGGGGTTAAACAAGTGGTCAGAAGGAGATAACTTTGCTGGTACTAGGGGCACAACTCTGTTGCTTTGCCCATACTCAGATCAAGGTCGCAGTCCTAGGTGGCAGTCCCAGGGTGAAGAGGAGCACTTAGCACACCAGAGCTTGTGGGCCACAGTGGAGACCCTCATCACAGTTCTAGGGCAGAAAAGAGTGCTTGTGGTCACTCACGGACCACAGCATAAGCCAGGAGAGTAACAAATATTTTTCTTTAGATTATACCACCTTGGAAAAACTGAAAACTTACAGGTCCCTAGAAGTATCTCTGGAAATGGCTGCACAAAACCCCTGAAGTTTGGGACAGTGTGCCCTCCACTCTGGAAGCAGAGCCCCACTTTAGCAAAGATTTAAAAGTCAAGAAATAAACTGGGAAAATGAGCAAACTACAGAAAAAATTCTGACAACAGAAAGTTACTATGATGACAAGGAAGATCAAAACACACACCCAGAAGAAGACAGCAAAGTCAAAATCCCTACATCCAAAGCCTCCAAGAAAAATATGAATTGGTCTCAGGCCATGGAAGAGCTCAAAAAGGATTTTAAAAATCAAATAAGAGAAGTGCAGAACAAATTGGGAAGAGAAATGAGAGTGATGCAAGAAAATCATGAAAAAGAGTCAACAGCTTGGTGAAGAAGGAATAAAAAAACACTGAAGAAACTAACACCTTAAAAAACAGACTAGGCCAAATGGTAAAAGAGGTACAAAAAGCCAATGAGGAGAAGGATGCCTTGAAAAGAGGAATTGGTCAAATGGAAAAAAATATACAAAAATTCACTAAAGAGAAAAACTCATTAAAAAATAGAATTGGCCAAATGGAAAAGGAGGTACAAAACCTCACTGAAGAAAATAATTCCTTAGAAATTAGAATTGAGCAAGTGGAAGCTAATGACACTATGAGACATCAAGAAACAATAAAACCAAAAAAAAAAGAATGAAAAAAATAGAAGATAATGTGAAATATCTTATTAGAAAAACAACTAACCTGAAAAACAGACAGGAGAGAGAATTTAAAAATTATTGGACTTCCTGAAAATCATGATTTAAAAAAAAAAGCCTAGACATCATTTTTCAAGAAATCATCAAGGAAAACTGCCCTGATATTCTAGAGCCAGAGGGTAAAATAGAAATTGAAAGAATCCACCAATCACCTCCTGAAAGAGAACCCAAAATGAAAACTCCCAGGAATATTATAGCCAAATTCCAGAGCTCCTAGATTAAGGAGAAAATATTGCAAGCAGGCAGAAAGAAACAATTCAAGTACCATGGAGCCACCGTCAGGATAACAGAAGATTTAGCAGCCTCTACATTAAAGGATCAGAGGGCTTGGAATATGATATTCTAGAGGGCAAAGGAACTAGGATTACAACCAAGAATCACCTGCCCAGAAAAACTGAGTATAATCCTTCAGGTGAAAAAATTGAAATTCAATGAAATAGAGAACTTTCAAGCATTCCTAATGAAAAAACTAGAGCTGAATAGAAAAGTTGACTTCCAAATACAAGACTCAAGAGAAGCATAAAAAGGTAAACAGCAAAGGAAAATTATAAAGGACTTAATAAGGTTAAACTGTATTCATTCCTATGTGGGAAGATGATACCTGTAACTCTTTAGAGAGAGGGTATACGTGTGAGTTGAATGATAGGATGATATTTTTTAAAATAAAATTAAAGGATGAGAAAGAAGAATGCACTGGAAGAAAGGGAAAGGGAAAGGTAGAATTGGGTAAATTATCTCACATAAAGAGGCCGGAAAGAGCTATTACAGTGGAGGGGAAGATGTGGGAGGTGGCAGGCAACATCAGAATTGACTCAAAGAGGGAATAACATACACACTCAATTGGGTATAGAATTCTATCTTACTCTGCCAGAAAGTAGGAGGAGAAGGGGATAAGAGATACCTAGAAAATTAACTACATCTCCTGCCCTCAAGAAGTTCACATTCTAATGACAAAGAACCTCCTGGGTATTATTTCCTGCACTAATCTATGACTCAGATAGACCTATGGAAGGTTTTCTACTTGGAATATGTATGAAGTATGTTGTTATTCAATAATATGTTCCTTTAGCACATATTGAAAACTCCCTTGGTGAGTAGGGACTGGAGTGGGTTGATTCTGGGGGGTGGGGTGAGGGCAAAGATGACCTAGATTGCTTAATTGCAGAGAAAGGGAGTTAAGGAGGAGCTACGATGTCAGTTAGGGACAATACAAACTTTATAATATCATTGGCAATCCTGTTATCTGTACAGCACAATTTAGCACTTTGAAGGGAAGTATGGCCTAATGTATGATGGCCTGACCCTGAAGTCAAGAAATCCTGGGTCTGAGGACTGCTTCTGTCTCCTACCAGCTGTATGATCATGGACAAGTCACTTAACCTCTCAATGACCACAGGCAACTCTAACCCTGTAAGTTACTGGTGAGGTTCTAATCTGTTTTGGTGGAAGGGTTTATTCAGATTTGGGGTCCCTTATGCCTGATGAAATCACAAATATGAACCCCAAAAATCTATTTTCCTCATTAATTAGTTCATTGTACATTTCCATAAATGGATTATAAACTACTTATAAAGACTTCTTTTGTACCCTGAAACACCTAGCATGGTGCCAGACACTTAAATATTTCATATATGGTTATTTGTGTTAAATAATTTCCTGAAAATTGATAATTAGGGTCAATGCAGAGCTCATTTTTACCTAGGTTGAACCAACTGGCCAAAGTTATTTATAAAAATACTAACAGCTAACATTTATGTAGTGCTAAAAGGTTTGCAAAGACCTTCCCTTACATTCTCTTTCTGTGCCTCAAAACAATTCGGGGAGGCTGGTACTTATTTTCACTTGATTGATGAGGAAAATGAGGCTGAGAGGCTTAGGGGATTTGCCCCCATCACACAGCGAGTAAGTGTCAGAGCGAGAACCTGAATCCAGGTTTTCCTGACTCAAAGTTCATCACTCATTTGGTTACTTCATACAATCGAAGCAAACCTCTGAGGAATACACACACATTTTGAGATTTTAATTTTTTTAATTTTTAACTTTAATTAAAATTTTTTTTTTCTGAAAGGCACATGATTTAGAACACAAAGAGGCACTAAAAATCAACTCTAAATCAAACAGAAACCAAGCGAACCCAGACTTTTGGCCCACTTCTAACTCCAAATTTAGGGCCCTTTCTAAAAGAAAAATGGTTTTATTTGCCTTTTAGCTTTTCTTGCTGAGAGAACCAGGCAGGACCTTGACTTGCCACATCTCTGGAATTAATGTGGAATTATAGATCGAGCCCAGGCTGGAGATTTAACTTTTGGTCCCAGGTCTGGCCCTAGACTACTTACTGAGTGACCTCGGGCGAGCCACTTAACTCTGGGCTTCCATCTGCCCATCTAGAAAATGATGGGGTTGCTCTGAATGGCCTCCCAGGTCCCTTCCCACTCCCACGTTCCGGTTTCCCCAGGGGCTTTATTTAAAAGCAAAACCCCAACTTCACGTCTGTCACCATCTGAGGCTTCCACTGTCTCCTTCCTCATATAGGTGCTCTTCTTTGGATGCACCCCCACATGCAGGGCACACATGCCCCTGCCATATCATACATTTATGGCACACGTATTGCGGGTATTTGGCCCAGAGTAACACAGCTCAAGTACAGGTGAGCCGCCAAGTTAAGGAGCGGAGCCCAGACCAGCCCACCTGTGCCAGAAAAGAAGAGGGCACTCTAGTTTTTTCCCCGAAGGTTACCCTAATCCCTTCCTCTTTTTCTCCCTCCTCTCTTTCCTTCTCCCCCATCCCTCTTCAGATCTTCTCGGTTCCCTCCCTCTGCCTATCCCTCTCCCTCCTTCCTCCCCCCCACCCCACTTTCCTCGTCTCTACCCCTCCCAGCGCCGCCACCTTGCACCCCTGCGGAGACTCGAACCTCCTACCAGGGGCTGCACGCCCAAGAAGGAGGCCGGGAGGGAGGCACTCACTTCCAAGTCATTGCGCTTGGGGGGAGGAGGAAGGACAGGAGTGGGGAGGGGAGAGGGCCGGGGGGAGGGGGCCAGGGGGAGGTGGCGGCAGAAGCCGGGGGAGGAGGAGGAGGAGACGGAGGGCGAGGCGGACTAGGCATGCTCGCTCAGCAGCGGCCGCTTCAGGCTGCTCTGTCTCTCTCTCTCTCTCTCTCTCTCTCTCTCTCTCTCTCTCGCTTGCTCGCTCTCTCACAACCCCGCGGCCGGGGACGGCAGCGGCGGCTGCGGCGGGGCCAGCAGCGGGAGGCAGCATGAGGGAGCCTCTCGGTAAGTCCCTGACTTCCTCGTCTTCTGCCTTGCACCCCTCTCCCCAATTTCTATACCGCTTTCATGTGTCTCTCCTGCAGCTCAAGCCCTGCCTTTCTCTCCTCCGAACTTTTGCAGCCTGGGACCTGCCGCCGCCCCTCAGTCCTCTCCTTTGGGGCTGCTTTGAGTGAGGGACGTTAATAAGAGAAGCCAACCTGCGCCCCCTCCCCTCAGTCGCCGCAAGCCCCCAGAGGATCGCTGCCATCCCGCGGCACTGCAGCCCCTCTGGGCGTCCTCCTTGCTCCCGTACTGCCCAGGGTAGCGCTGGTCCGGGAGGCGGCGGTGGCTCTGCCACTAGAGGTGCCCGCCTCATCGCCGCCCCCCCCTCCGCCCCCACCCTTGGACTGGGGAGTAGCGGACTCTGTGCCCTTTCTGCGCGCTCTCCGTTCCAGGGCTGCGCCCTGAGCGCAAGCCGCTGGAGCCTTCCAAACTCCCCGGGAACATAGTCCCTTCTCTCTCCGCCAGCTTTCTCTCTTCTCGGGATCTCCAGGACACAAGCTTCACCTTGACTGTCCCTTTGCTCCCTCGGCATCAGCCTATCACAGGGGCGAAGAGGACAACCGGGTGTCTTTTGCCCCCTCTCTTTTTGAAGGCTCCTCCCTGTCCTTCGAGTTCTCCAACTTCGTAGGAGGCGACCCAGCAGCGTTTCCTTGTTGACATCTCTTCTTAAGGCAACCGCAAAGCAGCAGACCACCCTTTGGGGAGCCTCGCCTCTGTAGTAACCCCACATCGGGAACTAGCTGTATTAACATTTTAAACTTCCAGATTCAGAGCTCTGCCCTTTGCCTTTTCTTTTTCTCTCCCCCCCCCCCCCGCCCCCCGGCCCTGGCCTTTTGCCTATTTAAATGACCACAGGCAGGGGAAAGGCTGGTGGCTGCATGATCTCTGCTCCTGCCACTGCTGGAACACACCGACGTGCACACCACACACGGTTTAAGGTCTGGGGGATTATGACTCTAATCTCTGACTATGAATTCTGGGCACTGCGTGTCTCTTCTGTTGTGTTTATTGTTCTTTTTAAGAGAGGGGGGAGGGAGGGGGTGGAGAGAGAGAGAGAGAGAGAGAGAGAGAGAGAGAGAGATACTGTAAAAGATGCAGTAAATCCAGTTAATCAGCTCATTTATGAGCCTTGAAGTCTGTTCTGTCTTTCTCTCATTCCCTCAAGCATCTCACCCCAATCACCCTTTTGCCCCACCCCTCCAAAGAGAAGTGCCGTAATCGGCTATAAAATGTCACAGCAACTACGGCTTTCTTAGATGTTGAGACCACAAGCACGGGTCTGAACCAGGGTTGTATTCCTGCTGCTGCAGCCCACACGATTAAAAGACCCGCCTTTGCTTCTTTCTTGTTACTGGTAATAGAAACTAATACCTCCGATGCTTCTGTGTGTTTAAAAAAAATAAACCGTGATTTCACTACTAAAGAATCAGAAATGAAAACTTTTTTGGTCAGTGAAGCTTGACCATGCCCAGTAAACTCACTGGGGTGTACATATGTGTTAAGCTAGTCAGAATTAGATCGAGCAAATCTGATGCTTCCCCCCCTCCCCAGCCATACTCTACCACCTTTCTCTCCTCTCCCCACCCCCAGTTTCATTTCTCGGATCCTGCCGTGAATTGTCTTCCCACTGAGAAAGAGGGATGGAGTAGTAGGGGGACATAGCTCAATGTTCCTAGATCTGACATTTGAATGGCATTTCTTTTTCTGTTCATTCTATTTTCCATCTTGCAGAGTTTCCCTCTTTGCCCCATTCTTTTTCAGTCCAGCAAACAGGAAAGTCCACAGTCTTCAAAGAGATCAAAATCAGTGTGAGTTGGGAATTCAATTTAAAAAAAAAATAGAGGTGACGTTAGATGATTTTTAAATTGCATGTACTGAACAATACTTTTTAATATAAAAAGAAGGCTTAGCATTTGAATTGTTGGCGATTACAATGTTATACTATTGTTTTATTTCTTTTTTGGTCTGGATCTAAGATTTCTTCAACATGGGGGAGCTCCCAGGATGGAAACTCCCTTTTCGGATAAAGTTCTGCAACTCTGTAATTTATAGTCAGAGGGAGTTGGGTAGGTTAAGTGACTTGTCCAGGGTCACAAAGCTGGTTTGTGTCAGAGGCAGGACTGTAATTCTGCATTCCCAACTCCCTGGCCCATTCTCTGTCCACTACTTCATAGTGATTCTCAAGGTATATCGCTAAATGCTTTAAGTTTTGGAAACTGAAGTTGAGAAATGTGAAGAGTTAGGTTAAACTAGAATTACAGTATTGTGTTAAGACAAATTAAGAGTGACTTGGAAAGCCAAATTCTTTAGAAAGCTGTTTTTTGGACTTTAGGCTATGAATAATGAGGCTTTGGGGGGGGAGGGGTTGCATCTCTCAATATAAGATTAGATAATTTTGTAAATTCATCAAAATCAGAGATGATCTGTAACATATAAAATCTATAAGAATCTCTTTTTCCCATCTTTATTCTGAAAATAGGCAGCTGAGGTGGCATGAATTTGGAATCAGAGTGCTGTATTCAAATACTGCCGTGGACACCTATTAGTGTGATCCTGGGCAGGTTATTTAACCACACACTGCCTGCATTTCCTGACCTGTGAAGGGGTGTTATAATATATTAGCGTTTACCTCACCAGGTTGTTAGTAGTCTCTAATGAAATATTTGTAAAGTACTTTAAAACCTTTAGAGAGTTATGTAAATTTTATTCTTATAGTCATTCCATATTGACAGGTTTGGGTTTTTTTTTTTTTTAATATCAGACCATTAGGTGGGGACCAAAACATTATTTGGAGGGAGGCTATACTTAAAAACAAAAAGGGTTGTATTTTTTTTAAACTTCCCTATGTTATTTAAAACATCCAGGTGCCAAATAGTGTGAAATGTTATATAAACTTGGATTAGTTCGTTTATCTCATCATAATCTCTGGCCACAGGTTAATCACATATTGCTCAGTAGCTCATATCTGTTGCGTTGGGTGATCTAGGGTACCAGGAGTAAACAAGGGCCTATTTGTTCAGTGAGAAAAGCCAACATTGTGATAATAGGTTTTTTTTTTCCTTGATGAAGGAATTTTAAAAATAAATTATGTCACACATATTCAGGAGAAAGCTGCGTCTGGTATGACCTGAGTATTCTTCCCCGATTGGATGTATTTGAAGGAAGACGTCTTTCTAATTTTGTGGTTGTAATGAATGCAAAAGAAGTTCCTGTGGGAATGCAAAGTCCTGTTTAAATAAATTTGGCCAGAATCCACCCTAATTAATCTAAGGGGATTTCTGGGGCTTGGAGAATTGAGTATGAGGCAATTGTTGTGCCTTTTATTTTTTTTTTCCTCTGACAAGGAAAAACTATGTTTCTGAAATCCTCTGGGTCTGTTGCTGACCATCACTGCATCTTATTTGGTTTTAACAGATGTTGTTTTCCACCTCTTGGATGGAAAGGGTTATCTCATTTGCTAAAACCTTACCATTGTGCTTTGTTTCAAGGGCCTGCTGACTTAAGGAATGCTGGGGGAAGCTTACTCACAAAATCCAGCCTAAAAGGAAAGGGTAGGTCAAACTTTAAATACTTTGATGTCGCCTTTAAAATCCAGATATCTTCTGTATCAGTGCTTTAAGGGTGGGGGTGGGGAGGAAGGGAGAAAGGATGACCCCCAAATCTCAATCTTAAAAAAGACTGAAACTTTACCACTATCTTTGTTTGCTTATATCATCTACCTCTAACTTTACTTTTAAAAACTTAGTTGTGGGCATCCTGGGTAAGGGGGCAAGAATCTATCTATGCATACCTAAATATTGCCCATTCTGATTCAGTACAGATTGGTTACCACTTCCTGCCAGAATCTGCTAAAATTCTTTTAGATATCTAAACGTAAACAGTCAAAATTCAAGATACAGAGGGAAAAAAGACCTCAAAATAACAACAAAAACTTCTCTTAACTCCATAGTTATCAGGATTGTTAGGTTACCTGACAAAATTTTTTTTTTCCTCTTTTTATTTTGGTACTGACTTGTGATTTCATCCATATTGGATACTCCTGGTACTAGTCAGTTACTAAAATTATATATCTTAGAAAACCTTACATTGTTGAATGTGGATTTGGACTGAGAATAATAGGTTACGTATTTTGTTCTGTTATCTGAAGTTATATAGCTGTTTTACAGCCAAGAAACTGCACCCCCGCCCTTATGTCTCTAAAGTCTGAGAAATTAGAAAGTGTTTGATCTTAGTCTTTAAGAGATGAATTCTAATGCATTTTAAAATGTAGTGATATTTAAGGTGTGATGAATGAATAAGACTAGTGCCATTATTGTATGAAGGGATACACAGAGATGAAATCAAGAAAGAAAAAATTTTGCAAATCTGAATGTGGTGGTGAGGAAGATGAGACATAAGGAGCAGCAATGCGGTTGAGTAGAAAAAGACTTGGGATCCAAAGACTTTAGGTCCTACTGTGCGACTATGGGCAAATCACTTAATCTATCTGAAACTCAGTTTCTTCATCTATAAACTGCACATAATAATATAGTATCTGCTAGGGTGGTTGTGAGAAGAGTATTGTACCAACTTTAAAGCACAATTTAAATATTAGCAATTTTTCATGTTGTATCATTAGGAAAGAGGAGGTAGCATTTTTAAGAGAAGAAAAGCATTCCATACTTGACCCATTCTAACTTGAACCTGAGCCCAGTGTTGACCAAGCCTGGTGAGATACTAGTGTTCCATGATGCTTTTGCTTTTAGACACCAATTTCCAAACTTTTCTGTCCCCTTTGGAAATCCCAACTCAGTGAATAAGTGATGATTAGAATGATGATTACAAAGATTAAATACTCTTTCTGGTAATCTGCAGTGTTCTCCACCAATTTGAGGCTCTGGCTGCAATATCACAGTGGTGTGGGAAGAATTTTTGAGCTTAATGTTTGGGTATTTTAAGTGGGACTCTTGGACAATTCTGCGTAATAATTAAGATAACAGAAACTGGCAGTCCCATTTCTAATAATGGAATTGGACAGTTTGATCATTTGGTGGGTTGGGGTAAGGATGACAAGTCCATGTATCACTTTGTAACTCACTTGTGTCCAGTTTGTTTTATGTCTTGAAGATTTACCTTTTATGTAATGAGAGCACACTGCTCTTCATTAATCATAACATTAGAACTCAAAGTTTTCAGTTGAAGAAAACATTTACACTGAACTTCTAACAACTCCAAAGAGCAGTGACATCTTAAGTATGGAATGTCAGTGAATACAGCTTAGAAGTTGCATATTTGGGGGGTTGGGTAGGGAGGGGGGTGGAGAATGGGAAATTCCTTGAGTCCGGAAACTTGGGATGTTTTTAGAGTAATTATATATCGAGTTTTGTCAGCAATGCCTCATGCTGTAAGCTTATCACAAACAAGTTAATCAGTTCATGTCACAGGTTGTAAGACTATACCTTCTATGATTTGGCTCTGCATAATGAGTGATTGGAATTCTTTATTAATCTTCAGGATTTTTTTTTTGTTTTCCCAGTCTTCCTTTACTTATTCACAATTGGGTTTTTGTTGTTGTATTTGTATTGTGGCTTATTCGATAGAGCACTGTACTTGAAATACAAACACCTAGATTCAGGTTCTTCCAGATACTAACTGTGTGATTATGGGAAAATGTCGGCACCTGAGTTACCACATCTATAAAATGGGGACACTATTGCTTGCAATACGTGCATCTCAGATTTGCTGTGAAGTAAACACTTAAAATGCTATGTGAACGTGACATGTTATTAAGCCTGTCCTGGCTATGGGTATGGGGCGAGGGAGGAGTCAAAGTTTTGACTTTATTTTATGATTATACTAGTTTTTATTTAATCCTTTTGAAGGTATAGGGTCCATCCCTGTGTTGACTGCAATTTTTACTCTTACATGACCATAGAATACTCTTAACTAATCAACTGTCTGCTGAACGAATGCTGTTGGTCACAAAGGAAATCAGTCAATAGGTGGATGTTCAGGAATTCATTCCCATTACTAGAAAAAACAACTTGAGAGCCCCCTGCCCTACTTATAGTGAGTGATTCATTAACTTTATCTTTATAAATTAATGTTGGTCCCTTATATTTGTGTGCACATATCTATTACCCCATTGAAATCTTGCTCCAGCTTCTCCTCTGTTGCCTGGAGGTGACCCTGATTTCTCATAGGTTGTCTCAGTAGAGGATAAATGTTGTTGGATTCTTCTGAGTTGGAAAGGATCCAAGTACAGACCCAGGAACAAGCTGTGTCTGTTCCCTAAGAACCTGCCTCAGTTTTGGGGGTCATCAGAAGGTGGAGATTTAGAGCTGCATGGGGCATAGAGATCATCTAATCTAAACCCTTCATTTTACCCATGGGGAAACTAAGGGCAATAGAGGTTGTGAATTGCCTGAACTCACACAGCTACTAAGTTCCTAGTCAATATTTGAAACGAAGTCATCTGAATCCAAATCCAGCTCTCTCATTTACTAATTTTTTACTAATGGATATTTACTATTTACTAATTGATAAAAGGATTCTCATCCTCTTGGGTGGAAGAGTCCCCAATACAGTGAAACCACATAGTTTTTAACTATAACATCTCCCTAGTAGTTCATGTGTTCTATAACAGATATTAACTGGGATGTCTTCTTGTGGGACTAATATTTAAGTTGAGTATTTTCATTGGCAAGTTCAATTTGAGAAAAAATCATGAAGAAATTGAAGATATAGGAATGTATAATTAACACAGGTAATTTCTGATAGGGTAGCTGGGTGGCTAAGTGGATTGAGCACTAGGCCTAGAGTCAGGAAGACCTGTGTTCAAATCAGGCCTCAGACACTTACTAGCTGGATGACCCTGGGCAGGTCACTTAACCCTGTTTGCCTCAGTTTCCTCATCTGAGCTGGAGAAGAAAATGATAAACCACTCCAATATCTTTGCCAAGAAAACACCAAATGGGGTCATGAAGAGTCAGACATGACTAAAATGACCGAACAACAACAAAAATTTCTGATATGTTTACAGTGAACATTAACATTAAGAATTAATATAAGACAGAGAGAATGATCATTAATCTGTTGTTGAACCTTAATTAAACAAACATTAAACACCTACTATGTTCTAGGTACTGTGCTGAGTGCTAGAGATTCAAAGACAAAAGCAAAAATTCTGACCCTCAAATAAGATATACACAAATAGGTAAACACTGAATAATTTGAAGAGGGGAAATGTGTTGGGGTAAGTGGACAGGAGGGAGTTGAGAGTGGATCAGGGAAGGCTTCTTGGAAGAGGAGGCCTTTGAACTGAACCTTAACTGCCAATAAGGAATTTTATAGGTGGGATTGAGGAAGTGGTATATTCCAGGCCTGAGGGAAGGCTTGAGTGAACACAGGTAGCCAGAGGGCAGAATGTTGAGTTCAGGGAATGGCTGATACCACTCTTTGGCTGGAACTGAGTGTGTGTTAAAGAGTGATGTGAATGAAACAAGGATGAAAGAGTAATTTGGAACTAGATTTTGGAGGGTCTTAAATGCCAGGTAATATATCCTAGAGGTAATAGGGAGTCACTGTAAGAAAATGACATGGAAACATCTATGTCTTAAGACAATTTTGGCAGACGGGAGAGATTGGAAACACAGAAAACAATTAGGAGTCTATTAGAATAGTCTAAGTAAGAAGTGATGATATGAGCTATAATCAAAGTGATGTAAATGATTTATTTTTATAACAAACCAAAACATCCACCCAAATGAGTGTTGTCCCCATCAAAGTAGTCACTTTGGGAGGCCATGAACTTATTACAGTGTATTTCCATTACTCAGAACAGCTCTGTAATCCTTCAAAATTGGTGGTCTACTTTCTTCTACATATCTTCAGCAGCATCTCTCCTCAGTCTTTGAGGACAGATTTGATTTTTGGAGATAGTCACTTTGAGACATGTCTGGTCAATAAACAAGAACCAATCTAAGTGAACAGAGGAAGATGCTTTGAGACCATCTAGCTTGGGGACAAAAAAATGAGTGCCATACAATTACAGTATCCCAGAGATGGAAGGGACCTCAGAGAGAATGTAGTCTAGCCTGTACCTAGCCAAGAAACCTCTCTAAAATGTACTCACTAACTGGTCATCCAGTTGTCTTGTTGAAAACTTTGTAGGAGAGGAAACATGTTACTTCTCCAAGGCAGCCTATTCCACTTCTGAACAACTTTCTTTTTTTTTTTTTTATTGAGGCATTTGGGGTTAAGTGACTTGCCCAAGGTCACACAGCTAGTACGTGTCAAGTGTTTGGTCTGAGGCTGGATTTGAACTCAGGTCCTCCTGACCTTAGGGCCGGCACTCTATCCACTGGGCCACCTCGCTGCCCCTGAACAACTTTCTTATAAGTTTTTTCCTTACTTTGATAGCTTCAGTGCATCTACAATCTCCTTGGCATGAGTATTCCCTCCATTGGTGCAGATTTTAATTTAATCCAATGTGATTCTTACTTATGTTCTCCCATAGATCCTTCACAGGCTATTTGCCTAGTATCATGGAGGTCTTCCTCTAAGCCAGTGT